ATATCTGTAGAATTGGGAGCAGGCTCTGTGTAACTTGAAGTTTGCACCTTCTGTCTCTTCTGAGTAGCTGCTGCCCACTCCTGGCTGAGGTCAGAATGCAGCAGTAACTGAGTTGGATCTCATTGGGATTTTTGGGAGTACTGCTGTTCTTCTACCCCATTGTCTTGCAAGTTTTCCATGAAAAGGTACGTTTGGCCCAGGGCATGCATATTATACTTATTGGAGTTGAGATCTTTATTGAGCATTGGAGGTTACTGTTCAGCCCAAAGAGCAGTAGTTTCCCTTACAAACTGAAAACTCTAATCTACCATATATTGTTTTTATTATACTCTTACAAAGTGTTGTTTTGTCCTAAAGATGTTGCACCTTCAGTTACCTTCTTCTTAACTTGTAACTTGTAGGGTCATAGCCCTAAATGATTTGGATCCTCTCTGTTGAGATGATTGTGAGAGTGATCCTTTGTATAATCATGGGGGACTCCGCCAAGTGTTCTCAAGAAGATATGGAATTCATTTCATTGGTTCACCAAGAGCCTGGATTTGACAGTGTTTAGATCATGTTGCAAGATACACACAAGCTCAGTAGTGGGGAGAGACTAAGTGACACTGGGAGAGAGTTTGTGAGAAGCTGCAAAGGAGATTTTAATGGAGCTTTTCCAGCATGAGAAGGCTTTGTTGGTGCTGCTGAAGGTTCCTTTTTAAGGTGTGTGTTACAAATTTGTTTTAAAACCAGCTAACACACTTAGGATGTAAAATGTTCACAGAGTGAATAAATCTAAATACAACTGTAAAAGCTGTGGCAGTTTAATAATAATAAACATAGATGTTTTTAGCATGTTAGGCCTAAATTTTGATAAGGGGCTAGGGATGTTGGTGCCAAACTTGAAAGTCTTGCTAAAAGTCTTGATTTTTTTTCTTTTTTTCTTTTTAGAAAGTGTTGAACACCTGTTCTGAAAATCAGGCCCTTTAGTTAGGTTCAACACCCCAACATCAAGGCACACAAAACTTCTAGTAAGTTTTAAAAATGTAGGTCACTTGTTATTCTTCTGATTGTTAAGAGAGGCTGGAAGCTATTTTACAGCCTCAAATACAGGTCTACCAGACTGCTACAATCACAAAATGAGGTCACTTTCTAGCAAGATACACTTGCCATCAGTGGGTGACTGTATTAATAAAAAAAAAAAAAAAAAACCTTTCAAACTCATTTCAGCAGTTTATTTTCTCCACTTAATGAAAAGAAGGTTTTTTCATTTAAGTTTCAGATTGCTGTCATGAGCCAAATGGGTGGTGTTTTTCTTTAAATTACATAAAGTAGGGTATGGAAACCAGTCATGGGGCACTGAGGATTAGCTGTATGGGCTATAAACCAGTTGCAACACTTCAGAATTTCTGTATAAAGATGATGATGGTGTCAGATATTTTATAACCAAAGATGTTAGCTAGATTTTTCTCCTTTGCTCTCCCAGCCCCCAACTCTGACAAAGTTAATTTCTTCTTCTGAACAGTGTAATAGAACAGCTGCTGGGTGCCCAACTGATAAACTCAGACTTCAAAACACGCAGTTTTAAAACCAAGGACATGCTGTTTGAATCAAGTGATTATCAGAAAGCCACTTCTTTCCATGTCCTTTGTGATAGTGCTGGCTGTTCCAATATTATGAAGGAGGTGATAAATATTTGGTTGATGTTTGGGGTGGAAATGAGGGAGAACCAATCCCCAGGCTTTGAATGTATGTTGATATGTGCAGCACTACTTCAGATAAGATAAGCAGTGGGCATTGTGAAAGGGTTTAGAGAGGGTAAATGAGTGATGTCAGCTTCTAAGGCAATACTGTAGTGGTTCAGGAAACAGTTATATGAATCAAAAGAAGTAAAAACCTTGGTTTTACTGCCCCTCATGACCTCTCTTTCTGCCATATTCTACTTCCCTTTTCTCCATACCCTCATGCTCTCATCAAGATGCTTCTCCTCAGAATACAAGCATGCTTTGGTTTCTCCATCCAAAATCCCTCCTCCCTTCATCCTGCCCTCCCACTGAAATTACCACTCCATCTCCCTCCTCTCATTTATAAACTCATTGTCTGGTCCATCCTTCTCCAACTTTGTCCTTGATACTCTTCAAACTGTTTTTCACTCTCTCTCCAGTCCTCTGATACTGCTCTTGCTGAGGTCTTTAGTAGCCTTTTTACGGACTTCTAATCCATTCTCAGGACACTTCTCCATTCTCATCTTCCTTGATCTCTCTGTGGCTTTTGATACTGTTGACCTTCCCCCTCATTCTTAAAATATTTTCCTCTGACTTTCTTGAGTCCCTCCTTTCCTCGTTTCCTTCCTACTTTGGTGTCTGCTCTTCAGAATTCTGTTTAGTGAATCCTCTTCCCCTCTTTCACTTTCTCTGTGGCACTGCAGGGCTCCATCCTTGGCTTCATCCTACTATCTCTCTGCTGTATTTCTTTAGGTGATCTCATTGCTCACACGCCTCCATGTACCATCTTTATGTTGATGCTTCTCAAATCTGTCTTTCTTCTCCTGGTCTGACTCCCTCCATTCACACCTGCAACTCATCCTGCCTCTGACACCCCTTGCAGAAAAGTACATTTAGCAGGGTCAAAACTTACCTCCTTGTCCTGTCCTCCGTCTCCCTTCTCTCTGTTACTGTTGACAACATCATCATCCACTCAGGCCTATAAACGTGGGTGTTCTCTTCAAGTTTGTCCTCACTTTAGCCCATGCATCCAAAGCCATATCCAGATCTTGCTTCTGCTTCCTCTGTAACATTTTCGAGATGTAGCCTTTTTCTTTTTCTTGTGCAGAAATTCCATCTCCATTTTGAACTTCCTCACATCCATGTGACCAATTTCAGGTGCATTCTCAAAATGCTGCTACTAAAATATTTTTGGCCTGTGGCTCTGACTATGTCGTCCCCTTTTTAGTCTTGCCATTGACTCAACTTCACCAATGATGCTCGTCTAAATTGCTTATTTGTTCATTTTTCCCACTTCACATTTTCTTTCACGACTTCACACACAAGGGGCAACTAGTCTGCAAATGCATCTGTATATCCACTTCTCTATCCTTCTTCAGATCCTTTCTCAAGACCTACTTCTGTCAGGAGGCCTATGGTAAACTGCCAACTGATAATGGCTAGGCTGGTAGCCAGCAGGGACTGTTGATATTAATATCTCCTGTTTTATTTACATTGCATTTTTTTAAAAATTGGATTTAGTGAGCCTCTGTAACTACATTGTTACCTTTGGCCACCTTCTGCAACTCCATCCATTTTGTTACACTTCCATGTCACATCCAATCTTAATGTAAACTGTATGCTCTTTGTTGCACTAACTGCCTTGTGTTTTGTGCATTCTTGGGGGCACTGACTGCCTCATACAATGTACTGTGTGTTTTTGGGGCCAGGGTGTGATTAGGGCCTCTTGGCTCTACTCTAATGCCAACAGTAGTTCTAGTAATAATCAGTGCTTAATTTGTGTCAGGCCTTGCCAAGGCTAAGCCTCGGCACTTCTCCACTTGGCAGTTCATAGCCCAGCACCTCTGGGCTTCCTGTGTCAGTCATGAAAGTAAAAAAAAGAAATTGTGTGAGCCCTGGCACTTCTTTCATTACAAATTAAGCACTGGTAATGTTCTGTCATAATTATCTTGTGAGGCTATAGTCCTGAAGCAGCCTCTGTGTTTTATTGGTGATTAGTTGGAGAGGAAGTAGTATGTATCCCTCTAGACAGATTTTGGACCAAATTGTAGCTTAAGAAGTATGCACATAATGACCAAACAGCTGTTTGGGACTGACGACCTGTGCTGCTATACATTTCTGATCCAGCTCCCAGTCAGGTCTGTGCGGTTCTGCCATCATGGGAGCCAGAGAAGGCTTTGGTTTGTAAACCTTGTGAATTATCAGTGCTATAGAAATTAATGTAATGACATATATGCTGATTTACTCTGGACCTGTGGGGGCTGAGGCATGAAGGAACACTCATCCATTCAAAGAATACCGGATGAGTTGCAATGCATGCATTCTGCCAAGTTGTCTTGGAAGATGAGATAATAAGCATAAATTGCAAAATGTAAATATTTCCCTCCCATAATTGATAGAGTATTGATAAATATTTTGCCATCCATGTGCTTCATTTTATCAAATGCTAGTCCTCAGGTGTCATATCTGAAATACTGTACTGACTATTTACAGTTAAACTTCAGCGTTACTAACACCTTGGGAATAGAGCTTGTTCATAACTCTGAAATGTTTGTAACTCTGAACAAAACGTTATGGTTGTTCTTTCAAAAGTTTACAACTGAACATTGACTTAATACTTAGAAACTTTATTAGGCAGAAGAAAACTCTGCTTTCCCTTTACTGTTTTCGTAGTTTATGTTTAATACAGTACTGTACTGCATTTGTTTTTTTGTTTTTTTCTCTCTCCTGCTGCCTGATTGTGTACTTCCGGTTCCAAATTAGGTGTGTGGTTGACTGGTCAGTTCGTAACTCTGAGGTTCTACTGTAACTAGCCATGCCTAGTCCTTAGATTCTCCTGCAGGTGACATTATAGTTTTACATGGCTACAAGAAGACACTGCAGGATGGTGGTGTAGGGGGGTGTCAAACAATTTTCATATGATGGGCCTAATGACCACCTTGTGATTTGTAGTGTTCCAGTGTGGACTCCCCCTTATTCCTCTGTGTAGACAGAAATGTTCCTTAGAGCACAATGATGTGGTCTTGTTTCAAACAGAGGCTACATCACTGCAGACTAGCCAGGGAGCTAGAGCCCAACACACCTGTAGTGGAGACTCCAGAGTTGTACAGACAAGCCCAAAGATTTGCGGGAATCCAGATGAAACTGTTCTGTAGGCTGCATCTGGCCAGTGGGCCATTCCCTTGACGCCCTGGTACAGAGTCTTTCTTTAATGGTAGTAATATAATTAATAAATAATAAATAAATATAAATAATAAATAAAGTGCCAATCACTTTTAAATTTTTCTTTGTTCGTAGGGTGGAGTTCACTTCTTTTGTTCCTGGGAGCTGAATAGGAGAAAGGGACATTTCAGGTTAACTTGATAAAGGTAAGACAACATCTATTGGTAAAGATAAAATAATATTCATTATTATGAGTTTATAGTACGTTTGTCAATGGAGGTATGTGATGTGAGGTTTTTTAACTTTGTGCTTTAGCAGTAAGTTAAAGTGAAGTATGTGATAACACAGTTTGTATAATGGATGGAATGTGTACTTCTACCACAGGTATCAGTAAAACCCCTGGAGATAAGAAAGGAGGTGTAGATCAACATGACAAAGTGGATATCAATTTGTAACATGATTAATAACTTCTGGCATTTTCCATACTCCATTGAATTTAAAATATTGGCTTGTTCAGCTGTGGTTCTCTTCATCAAACATTTGCACAGACTGTAAGAGCTCTTGAGTTAGAATTCCATATCCTATAAGATACTTCTTAAAAAAATGTACGGAAACATGTACCAGTCCTTTGTCTTTTGATGCATTAATGAATGATAGTACATTACTTTTATACCCTGGTGTACCTGAGATCAAAAGTTGATTCTTTGTTCTGCAAACTAAGACATATATTTTGCCACTCATTCAAAACATTGATATTGTACTTACTTGGTCTGACTTAAATATAGCCCCAAATGCTCAGAATTAAATTGCTATCTTGTAAAATGTCAATTAAGTATAGTAAATTGAGGGGGAGAAGGGAAATCCTGCTATAGCAATAATGTGGTTTTTCAGTCTTTAGCATTGTAACCACTGACGGTAAGGTCATACATTCAAGTGTTAGTTTAGTGCAGGGGAGAGAGTTGTTGTGTTTTCTTGATGAAAAGGTGCCAGTAGTAATTTGTAAATTAACTAATATTGCCCAAATCTAGTCTCACTCTGGTGGAATTCATGTTGAACTACATGGGAATTTTGCCTGAGTCAGGATTTAATCGAGCCCATAGCGTGTACTTGCTAGAGTATATGATGTGATTGTTTACTGCAGCGAAGTACCCATTTACACCAATATACTAAAATTACACATCTAAAATTCCGATACCTAATATACTAACTCTACTTGGTACCTAGTGTTATAAATTATTTGTATGTGTCTAATGTGTGTCATACCTGTGCAGGACTCAATTACACCTTTTAATGCACAGGCCTCCATTGCGGGCATTGCAGATCTGATCTGTTCTAGATGTACAGTGGAAGTAACACTTCAGAGGGTGCAGCTTACTCTCCTTTGTGCACCCAGTTTGCTCTGTTAGGGGTAAAGCAGTGCTCCTGCTTTCTTGTTTTCCCCTTTGGAGTGTCATGCGCCCCACGTGATGCACAGAGAGAGCAGTTCTTATGCCTTAGGGATAGCATTTACACTAAGCATATCCTGACTACTTCTATGTCTTTTTTTTAAAGAGGTTAAATGGAGAAAAATTGAAACCATAAATACACTCTACATAGTTAAACTTGGCTTTACGTCCACCATTTCTGTCAGCATATTAAGAACATCTTTAGAGGAAACAATTTAATGTATTATTTTTAGAAGGAGCAAGACACTTTGAGGGAAGTTAGATAATCCTTCAAATAGACCAATGAAGAATAATAGTGCCATAATCACTAAACTGCATTCCAGTACTATGGAGATACTATGATTTCCTTTGCTAATAAAAACCAAAAAATCCAGAGTTATATGTTTTGAATTTTTGTATTTGCTGTCTGTACAAGAAGATGCTGACTAAATAATCTTCAACTCTAGTGTTCATTGCATTTTGAGTAGGGATTGTATACATTTATTATTCATAGTATTGTTCTTTTATAATCTCTAGAGTATTGTGCAGTCAATAAAGACTCAGACTAGTCAGTTATTCTTTTGTTGATTATATTTGTCTCAAATGTAAAGTAATGTAATCATTGTTGGCAATTCTTACACTACAGAACCTTGGATCATTATTGTATCACATGGATATCCTTATATACCCTGAATCCTAAACTCGGATAAATTGGCATAACTCCACTGACTTTAATGCCCGCCAGCTGATTGAAAGAGGGGAGTTAACACAAGCATCTAAGTAGCAAGTTTTACCCTTTTTGGTAAGAATAATTTTTACAATGGCAGTGGCAGCAGCTGCAGGATTGGGGAAATTTCCCATAAAAAGTCATTATTTAAAAAAAAATAAAAAAACACCATCCCTCCAAAAAAGACTGCTCCTAAAAATTAAGTTAACTCATCCTTCATGCCATTAAATGATGGAGAAATACCCACAGACTTTCAATGCAAAAGCAACATTCTGCTCTGACTTAATTTAACTCCTGCATGTGATCATCCAGTGAAAACTTCCTCTTCCATGATAGTCTTTTAAATCGAAAACTCTTTGGGGCAGGGGCAGTCTCTATATTCATGTCATTGTAGAACACGTGGCTGGAGCTTAATAATAATTTATTATTCTAATTGAGTGGAAAGATGTGGATTTGGGGGACTGAGGAGGTTAGCAAAGTAGAGCAGAGGTCCCTTCTTCCTCTCCAAACATATCCTTTATTGTGATCATGACTCTGATCCTGTGGGCTAATCTGTGCTGGCTCTCGTGTGAGTATCTCTTAGACTGGTGTAACTTAACACCAGTGGCATCTGGTACTAAACAATCGTATGTCCGTTGAAGATTAGTGCTGTGGAGAGGACTTTTGACCCAAACACATCTCTTAAAATGATGTGGAGTACAGGAACTTGTTATGCATGCAGGAAATTTTTAGACAGTTAAGGGCAGGGTCTTGCTCCTTGGTACCATTCAGGTGGCTCACAAACAATCCAGATTTCAAAGGAGAAAATGATCCTGTATTTTAAAATAATTCTGTTAACGAAAGGTCTTAGTTTTCAGAGACTGGATAAAATGCCCATCAGGATGGATTATAACAGAACATGAGAATCAGTATTTTCTTGTGTGGAAACATCACCAGTGGAGGACACACAGAAACAATTGGAGAGGGAAGAATGTATTTGTTTATTGCCAGTAAAAGGATTCCATGTAACTATTAGATCTAACAGATTAACAACTATTCTACCAAACTCTTGCAAAGCCCCCATGGGAGTGTATACACTGCAGCTGGGAGCAAGCCCCCCACCCTAGGTAGACAGACTTGCACTAGCAGGGCTCAAGTTAGCGGGCTAAAAATAGCAGAGTGGATTTTGTGGCTCCGGCTCTCAAGTCTACCTGACCCCCCTCGCTCCCAGGGCTCAAGATCCTGAGCTCCAGCCCAAGCCGCGATGTCCACAGTGCTATTTTTAGCACACTAGCTTGAGGCCTGCTAGTGTGGGTCTGTCTACCTGGGATGGGTGGCCCACTCCCAGCTAGGGTTGCCAACTTTGGTTGGGATGAATTCCTGGAGGTTTCATCACATGGCATTATCTTTAATTAAAGATTAATCTTTAATTCCTGGAGCGTTGGCAACTATATAGACATACCCCATGTCATTTTATAACAAGCTTCCTGTATATTTTATCACAGACCTGTTGTAATATAGTCATATAAATATTAATATAATTGAGATTCTTTTGAGACTCCTGGTATGTATGGGGTGGAAAAAAGAGAAAAGAAATCTGTTACACATAAATTTAGCATGAATCACTCTGCAGATGAGTAGTGAAGAGCAGCACCAGTACTTGGCTACCTTTGAGACCCAAAAAGAAAAGAGTTGAATATTCCCGGGTTTAATCAGTCATAGTTATTTGTTTCACATAAGTTCATTCAGTTATCACAAGAGCATGAAATCCAAATGTCAGTTATTGTGCCCTTGGTTGGCAACAGTGATAAATATTATAAAAACCCAATTTTGTTAATAGACTATGTACACTTTCTTTCATTGTTGGAATAAGTGTCAGTTGTTATTTTTAGTGCAACTTGAAATACTTACCTACTGTGTGTATATGTAAGACAGTATTTTGGCATTTAAAAAGAAAACCATATATATTTAAAAAAAAGTCATTTATTTCCCCCTGTCATAGACATGAATAACTTTTGGAAGTGCATATGACATATCTATATGGATAGTAAATTTAATTCAAAATAGCAATACTATAGTACTGAGTACCAAAATGAAGTAAAAGCCATTCACCTCAACTGAAGTTTTGTATTACAGTGTATGTAAGAAATGGTACAGTCTGGGGGAAGGGGTTTGGAAGGAGATTTTAGCTGGAGATGGAGTAGCTGCAAATTAAGTCAGCTCAATTTATCAAATGACTAAATTTTATTATAGTAATATCTCTCTCTGAAAAGGGCAGATTTCTATCAATATTTTTGTTTGCTACTTGCAGGCAAGTTAATTTTTTTTAATGCTTCCACCCAGAGGCCAAATTCAAGTGGACTTAAATACTGTAACATTGTATAGAACACCATGTGCAGATATGGCTCCTAAACACAGTAGTGACAATCAGCGTGTGTGTGTGGGGAGGGGAAGGGGTAGAGGGAGGCTGAGGTTGAGGAGGAGAGGATGGAGGAAGATAGTGAACTATCAGGAAAATGCTGGAAAAATGCAAGTTAGCTACTGAAAAGCATGTGTGGAAGGGCTTGAACAAGAGAGAGAAGAGAAATAAGACTTCAGTTGATTGAGACTATTTGTACTGAATTTTGTCATGTTTGTATTATATTACTGTCTTTCTCAAGTATTCTTTTATATTGGGATTACCTTGTCACTGGCATTCACTGGAACTTACCTTGGAACATAACTGCCTTACCCACAAATGCCTGATGTGCCACATCAAGATGTCACAACATAAGTATTGTGACTGTGTGATGATTTTTCTTCTTGGAGGACATAATTTAGAATTAGGTTCATTGAAGTCAGTGGGACTGAAGCATGTGCTTTTAAAGTTAAGTACATGCTGTCCTGAATACGTATGTACCTGAGCACATGCGTAAGTGCTTTCTTGAACTGGGACCTTTAAATATTGGCAACCCTAAAGCACAAGATAAACAAAATTCTTGTGTGTGTGTTGTTGCGTAGGTGTAACCATGCATTATCAATGGAATATTTTAACTTATGAAATTAAGACTTGGCCTGTGCTTCAAGATTTTACGTT